AAAATAATTAAATTTTAAAAGGTTTTCAATTGAAGTTTTTGGTAATTTTAGGTATTTGCTGATTTTTTGTTTAAATTTTAAACAAGTGTTAAATTTTATAAAATTTTTAATTGAAAAATAGTTCAAGATAATTGAATTTGTGATTAATTTCATTAAAATTATTAAAAATAATTACACTGTTTTCTAGAAAGTATTAATTTGATACCTAATTGGATCAAATTGATCCAAATATTGGGATCAATTCGGTGCAATTTGATACTTTCAAAATAACAGTGTAATTTAGTGAAGAATTTTTGTTAAAAATTTGTTAAATAATTGAAATAAAGAAGATCTGCATTGTATAATAAAAAACGTATTTTGTTAGTAGGAAAAAGTCGTATAATCCAAGGCCTGCAAAATAGTTTTATTACTTTTAATATTGTCCAATTAAAATTTATTGTTTAATATTGTTTTTATTTATTTTAATATTTTTTTTTATTAAAAATTTTTAAAATGTTAAAAATTCATAAAAAAAATAAATAACTTAAAGTTCGATGTAAAAAAATATCATTAAAGCAATTCACCATATATACTTGGCTGACCTCAGTCGTAATTTTTGTCTTTTTCCTGAGCAATAAATCTCATAAACGAGCTTCGCATGTTGAAAAAATGTGCTTTTTGTGATTAAATAAGAGATATGATAGTATACAGTTTTGTATATACGACAATTACGTTTAATTAATTTCCACTCTTTAAATAATTATTATTATTACTATATAGCCTATAACTTTCACACTTTATGTCTCATAATTTTGTTACGCATAATATATATGACAATAAAGAAATTCTCATATTGAATTATAGCAAAATTTTAAACCTATATTTATATATGTATATTTCCTAAAAAAATGAATCAACATTTTTAGTGCCATAAATTTTGCACTATCTAGAAAAATCGTAAATTAGAAAAGCTCCCATAATTTAAGTTGTTTGTTTTCTTTTTATTTTCCCTAATTGCTCTCAACTAAACTGATAATTTAGGTTCATCGTAGAGCGGAAGTTGTAGGACATTGAAGTTTGTATAGTCTCAAAGGGAATTATGTATAGCAAAAGAGCTACTCGAAAATTGAGTTTGAAAATTTGTTTAACATTTTAATAATAACAAAAATTTTAATTAAACGCTTTATAAATAAGAATCTTGTTAAACAAATTTTGATGGAAATAAAATGAAAATTATTATTATTATTAGAATAGAAATGAAAAATATTCTTTTTATAATTAGAATTATAATTATTATTTTAATTTATATAATTATTTTAATAATATTATATATTGTATATACCCGTGTGGAAAAGTGATGTGGGCCCCCAGCGGGGGCCCTTATGGATCGCCCTCATGCCATGAGGGCCGCATATGGATGATCCATAGGGGCCCCTCATGGAAACGACATGCTCATCGATGAGGGCGCCCGCATGGGCGATCCATGAGGGTGCCCCTACGGGCGCCCTTATGGGCCCTCACGTTTGCCCTCATCTTGCCCTCAAGTTTGCCATAATGTTTTTTAATCAATAATATTAATAATAAAAGTTAATTAATAATAAATAAGCTTAAGTTATGAATAAATAACATATTTATTTAATAATTATTCAATTTTAAATTAAATTCTTACTCAAATTGAATTTATTAATTAACGTTCTAATTAATTAACTGTCGGATATAATTAAAAGTAATAATAAATTAATTAATTAAAAAATTAAAAAATATGTAATTTATGCATACTATTAACGGATATTTTCATTTTTCAATTAATTCATACATAGAATTAATGATTAAACGCAAACCTGAGAAATAAATAAATCTAACGCATGGGGGGAATCGAACCTACGACCTACAGACTATGAGTCTAACGCTTTACCAACTACGCTACGCACGCTACTTCAAAACGAATGCTAACTTCTTGATGCTATTTAAACTTGAAAAATACCTAACAAATAAAAGTGCTTAACATCATCACAGAAAATTAAAAGGCATTAAAATAAGCTGCAACGCTTATTATTTTAATCTAATTTTGCTTAATTTAATCCATTTTGGTATTAAAATAAGCAAAATTGGATTAAAATAATAAGCGTTGCAGCTTATTTTAATGCCTTTTAATTTTCTGTGATTTAGTTAAAGTTAAGATATTAAATTATATTTTCCAATCAAATGCAATTTATAAAATATAATTAATTATATGCTTTATGATTATTATCATGAATCATCTCAGGTGAATTTTCAAAAAAGTGTAAATATATTTTTATTAAAAACGCGTTTTTCGTTGTTCTGAATCATTATAAACATTAATTTTTTGGTGATAAAAAAATATTTGATTTTTGGACTTAGAAAATTTTGCTAATCGATCATGAGGGCGATCCATGCGGGCCCCTACGGTGCCCCTCATGGATTCGCCATATGGATCAGCCCTCATGGGCCCCCGCCGGGGGCCCCGAACTCTTGAGGGCAAGATCGTGGCTTTTTCCACACGGGTAATTATTATATAATTATTATATAATTAAAAAAATTCAATACAAAATTCTTGTATTTATAGAATCAGTAATAATAGACAGTTTGAGACAGACAGTATAATATTTTTCATTCGTGTATTTAAATAGATTCAGTAGTAAAAAATAGTTTCAGTCAGACGCAACTTTTTTTTTGCTTGGAACAAGTAGTAAAAGATATTTTTTCAGACATAATTTTTGTAATTTTTTTTACCAGTAGTACGAGTCAATTTAAGTCAGACAATTGCAATTTTTTATTAGTAGTACGAGTCAGTTGAAGTCAGACAATTACAATTTTTATCAGTAGTACGAGTCAATTGAAATCAGACGACACATTTGAAATTTTTTTTATATAAGTAGTACGAGTAAATTTAAGTTAGACAATTGAAATTTTTTTTTATTAGTAGTATGAGTCAGAAAATTACAATGTTTTTATCAGTAGTACGTGTCAATATAAGTCAGACAATTATAATTTTTTTAAGAAGTAGTACGAGTAAATTTAAGTTAGAAAAAATTTCAAATTGTTTTTTTTATTATTAGTAAGAAACAATTTTAATTTGACAGAAGATTACAAATTTTTTTTGTTGAATCAGTAGTAAAAGATCGTTTCCATCAGACATAATATTCTTGTCGTTTTAGTATCAGTAGTAAGGGCAAATTTTAAGTCATACTAAATTTTTAAAATTATTTTTATCAGTAGTAAAAGCTAATTTTAATTAGATGAAAAAAAATTCAAAAATAGTATTTCTACACTCTCAGAAAAAGATATGTTTGAACCAAATGTACCATTTTTTTATATTTACCCAATTTTTTGGTTAGTTCAAACAAAATTTGTTTAATTCAAATAAATATTTATTTGATGTAAATAACTGTTTGGTTTATTTTAATAAATTTTTTGAACAAAGAAAAAATTTGATTGAGCTAAATAAACGTTTGGTTTATGCAACCAAATGTTTGATTAACTGTATATCAATGCATTTATTTTGTTGATTTAACAAAAATTTGGTTGCTTCAAACGAATTTTTTTCTGAGTGCAGCATCAGTAGTAAAAGTCAACTTAAGTCAGACAGAACGTTGCAAATTATTTTTTAAGTAGTAATAAACAGTTTTGGCCAGACAAAATATTCTAAATTCTCATGTTTGTAGTATCAGTAGTGAAATATTGTTTCAGTCAGACATAATAATAATAACAGTAATAATAATAATATTAATAATAATAATAATATTAATTAATATTATTATTACTATTATTATTATTAGTTAATTTATTTATTATTACTATTTTTAATATTTCCACGTCATTGGTAATTTCCTCAATATTTTTATAGTAGTAAGAGTAAAAAAAACTGATAGGAAATTTTCAAGAAGTCAACAAAATAAAAAAAAAAAACTTGGCACAGTTAGAGAGAGAGAGAGAGAGAGAGAGAGAGAGAGAGAGAACTTTATTCGAATCTTAAGATATCTTGTCGGCAACTTGCGTAAATTGGATTGGCACTCAATCCCCTTTTTTTATTATTTCTTTTTTATTCAAAGGTAAGACGTCGTTAGCTCGCAATTCCCCCCAAATAAACATCTGCCCTTAGAGTATAGCCCCCGTGATTGCTAAATTTTTTTCTCTCCATTTTTAAATCGAAAAAGAATCAAAAAAATTTATATCCTTTAACTGCTTTTTTGTGAAGAAAAAAATTCAATTTCATAATTTTACTAAATATTATTTTTCATTGTACAAGAAATGAGAGTTATTTTAATTCATTTTTTTTAAGAACAAAAATAAGAGAAAAAAATAAATTATATTAATTTTTTTTGATTCAATACAATTTCATGAGCATTAAAATTAAATTTTGTTGATTTAATAAAAAAAAAATTTATTGCATTGAAAAAGAAATTTATTTGATTCAAATAATTGGTTATTACTTGACTATTATTAAATTAATATTTACTTGAAACAAATAATTTTTATTTGAATTAAATAAACTTTATTTGAACCAATTTGTTAATCAACCATAATTTAATTTCTGTACTTGAAACAAATACCATTTGATAGTGTTAAATAATAATTGTTTAATAGAAATAAATATTTATTTGATAGTTTTAATTGATTATTTAAATCAAATAAATTTTGTTTTTAGTGTACGTATAAAATTTGTAAATTGCAATAAAAAGTTTAATTGCAATAAAAATTTTAATTGCAATTAAACTGAATTAAATTTATTTATTTATTTAACGGACTTACAAAAGAAAAAAGAATAAATTTAATTGAAAATTAAATTCTCTAGTTTAATTAAAATTTTAATTTTATTAAAATATTTTTAATTCAATAAAAACTGTAATTATATTAAAACTTTTAATTCAATAAAAATGTTATGAAAATTTTTGAAATAAAATTATATAATATTTTTGAAATAAAAAATTTGGAAATTTAAATTGTGTGTGTGTGTGTGTGTTTTTTTTTATTAAATAAAATTGAACGTGTATTATTACCTTGACTTTTTTGTCGATTTCCGGCTTATCAAGAAAGTGCATTGTTTGATGAACGGAGGATTGTGTTTGAAGAGATGGTGGAGCAGGTGGTGGATCTTCAGGGTCAAAGTTGAGGTGTTGGTCGACCCCATGGGGATAACCCCCGACAGTGGAGTAGCCCCTCGAGCTACCTGACATTGTCATCTGGTAGTGATATTCTACCTCGTTACCAATCCCTTCATTAGGGGTTTCCACACCCCTGACGTTATCCTCATCTTCTCCTGTGCTTTCTGCAAACAAAATAAGATAAATTATTAAAAAAAAAAAATATTTATTATAAATAAACATTTATTTTTTATTTTTAAAAATTTGTACATTTACATTGATTCCATCAATAGCAAAATTTATATTATAAACAATATTGTAAATTTTATTATTCCTGTTTTTATAATTTTTAATTTTTTCTTACTATTTTCTAAATTAATAAAAAATTCATTATTATATTTATAGTTAATAAATAATAATTATAATTCATAGTTAAAAAAATAATTATTATTTTTAGTTAATAAATAATAATTATTATAATTATAATTTTTTTTTGTCAAATTGAATTAAATTTCTTTGACATTCACACACTTAAATGTGCAAAATTATAAAAATGTAATTTGAAAACAAAATTTTTGAATAATTTAGGTGCGAGATAAATAAGCAAAAAAAAAAAAAATTTGCCGATGAGAAAAAGCTCTTTTCGCAAGTAGTGTGTGAGATGAATAATTATTTTCGGATTTTTTTAAAGCTCGCAATATCGATCGTTTTGAGGATTCATCGAATGTTAATATCCGGGTATTAAGTGAAATTTGAATTGAGGTTTCAATGACTAAAGTGCAATTAATGTCGCCTCATTGCCTGAAACTTCAAATTGATTTCACTGGTCCAATATAAATATAACGTTAATTTTTTTTCCCTCAAAAAAAAATTAATTATTTTTTCTTTTAAAAAAAAAGTTAATTATTTTTCCCACCAAAAAAAAAATTAATTATTTTTATCTTAAAAAAAAGGTTTTTATTTTACATTAAAAAAGAAATTAATCATTCTCTTGCAAATTCAAATGAGGGTTATAAATATTTTAATAATTTTCTAATGTGTTCTTCAAAAAAAAGTAAAAAAAATTAAAAAAAAAGTAAAAAAAAATGTAAAAAAAAGTAATAATTTTTTTTTAAATTTTTATTTATTTAATAAACTAGCAGAATTAAACGCGCGCAAGCTCGCCAAATTAAGTACTTAATTGTTTGTTATAAAGAAATTAAAGATTAATATTATCAATAATAATTTAATTTATTAGAATATTATTACATATTAAATAATAATAATGAAAATTATATGTTTACAGGCCTCGGATTATAAGACTTTTTCCGACTTTTTTCAAAAATACGACTTTTATCGACTTATTTTAATAAAATGCGACATTTTTTTTTTACATTTGAAAAAAATGTAAATAAAATACATTTTTTAGTATAAAATGTAGATCTTCTTCAGATCTTCTTTAATTCAATTATTTAAAAAATTTTGAACTAAAATGATTCTTCACTAAATTAATTATTTTTAATAATTTTAATGAAATACATCACAAATTCAATTATATCAAAATTATTTTTCAATTAAAATTTTTATAAAAATTAACAATTGTTTATAATTTAAAAAAAATATATCACAATAAAATTGAATTATTTTTTAAAAATTTCAATTCAAAATAAACTAAAATTTAATTATTACCTGAAATTTTAATTCAAAATCAATTAAAAATCCAATAATTATCCAAAATTTTCAATTTAAAATTTAACTATTTACCAAGTTTTCAATTTAAAATGAAATAAAAATCAATTATTTTCTAAAATTTCTATTCAAAATTAATTATCCAAATTTTCAATCAAAAATGAACTTAAATTAAATTATTATCCAAAATTTCAATTAAAATTCAATTATTTCCCAAACTTTTCAATTCAAAATGAACTGAAATTCAATTATTTTCCAAATTTAAAATCAAATAAAATTTCATTATTCTCAAAAATTTGAATTCAAAATTAATTGAATTTTCAATAATTCGAATTTAAAAGCATCTAAAATTTAATTATTTCTAAAATTTTCCATCGAAATTTTTTTTTTTTGAAATTTAATAATTTCAATTATAACTCTAAGGAAAATCAATTATTTTTAACTATTTTAATAATATTCTTTGAAAATTCAACTATCTGAAACCATTTTTCAATTATAAAGATGATTTTCAAATTATTGTATTTTGTCCGCATTTTCTAATAAATTTTTAGTGAAATCATCTAAAATTTTAATTAAAAATCACTTAAAGTTTCAATTAATTTCAAAAATCTCAATTTTAAATCTTTGAAAATTCAATTAAATTTAAAAAATGTTTTCCAAAAATTGTTTGATAAATTATTTTTAGTTCTGTAAAATTTAATAATTGTTTGAAAATTAACAATATCTTTTGAAATTTAATTATTTCTAAAAATTTCAACTTTAACCCTTTGAAAAGGATTATTATTAAAAAAATTTTTTTTTTAAAAATCTGTAAAATATTTTTGTTAAAATAAAAAACAAATCCACTTTTTTTTGGAATATAAATCGACTAAAACGACTTTTGTGTCTTTAAGTTGATTCGAGGCCTGTGTTTTTATAATTAATATTTAATAGATATTCGTTGGCCCCTGGTATATAAAAAATTAATTTTTAAAAATAAATTTTTTTCAAATTACTATCTTTTACGAAATTTCCTGGTGCCTCTTTTTTCTCATCATAAATTTTTTGTATTTGTATACAATTTTTGAATCAATATACAATTTAAAAAAAAATTTCGTTGGTAAACGTTGTGTACTTCAGCTTCGTGAATTGAATTTTCGAATTTGGAATTTTAAAGAAACTTATTCCGAAATTTGGAAACACAATTATACAACTTTGGCAAAAATGAGAAAAAGAATTGTCAAAATTTGACACGTCATAAGATTACTATTCAAAAAAACACGTGAAATCAGAAAAGGCCAACTTCAAGTTAGAACAGAAGGACAGACCAAGCATTTTATTATTATATAATTTATGGGACAATAATTTTAAAAATACAACAAATTAGGACGAAACAATTAAATAATATTTCCTCCATTGTAAAAAAATGAAAATTCGAAGTAAATTCCATTTTTTCACTGCATTTTACGTGAAAAATTTACCCTTACTTTTTTTTCCAAGTAGAAAAATAAAAATTGCAATATTAGAGGATTATTATGGGTGAAATTGATGAAGTTGTGTGTCAAGACAGCAGAAAAGACACAACTTTTGTAATTCTAGACATCGTAAAAAAAAATACACAGTTTATGTTGTTTTTTTCTTTTTTTTTGAAATGACGGCCCCAATTTACCTAGGAGGTATTATTCCATGAAAGAGAAAGAGTGATACGGTTTTATCAGCGGTTTTTACAACCATCGTATAGGTTGGACTTTAAACGGAAGAGATTTACCGCGAACCATTTTATAACCCTTGTCGCTTACGTTAAAGATCGTCGTTTTTTTTTTCTCTCTCTCTCACTCTCTCTTTTGCGCTGATTTTTTCTCATTTCAGAACTGATGAAAAATTATGCGGAAATAACATCGGAGCCATGGCTTTGGGGTAAAATAATCTTTTGATATCTCTGCTTTAGATAAAGATATAATAGTTTGAAAAATTTGCCAAGAAGATATAAAAAAATTCCTTAATAATTTATTGAAATAATAATAATATATTTACAAATTTTATATTATTATTATTAATATTAATAATATTAAAATAATAATTTAGTAATTTTTAATATTAAGAATATTAATCATAAAATTTTTAAATAAATAATTATTATAAAAAATATTAATAAATAGGTATTATATTTTAATAAATTATTAGGAAATTTTTATTTATTCTCCGTAAATTTCTCAAATATTTATTAATAAAAATTAATAATATTAAAAATAATATTAAAATTTGTGAATAAATAATTATTACAACTTTTTGAAATATAAAAATACTTGGTTATAGATAAAAAAAATATTATGTGAAAAATATTAAACAGCAATTATAAGTAAATTAATTATTGGCTTTGATCAGATAAACAGATACTAAAAGTAAGAAAAAATTTTTTTTTAAATCTTTTTTGGAATTAAATTTTCTTTTTTTTTAATCAAAAAGTGTATGGTACTTTTTTACAGGAAATTTTTCCTATTCTTTCATAAAATATTAACCCTCTTTATTCATATATTTTTTTTTTAGACTTTATTATATGGTCTTGTTTACTTTCCCTAATGAAACTTAATTTGAAAAGTGAGACCGAGATCATAATATAGCATATATATTCACACAAGAAGAAAAAATTAGAAGTATTAAATTACCTTCAATTAAGTAAATTAGCCACATTTTTACCACACTGAAAATGTGTTCATGGAAAAGTACAAATTAAAAATATACGTGTTATTTTTTTTATATATAAACAAATATTAATTTTTGTTTTGAAGAAGCAATTTGAAAACAAAATTTTTTCATTAAAAAAAAAAGATTTTTTTTGAGGAAAGTTTTTTTTTAAAAAGACTTTTTTTAGATATCACAGATAACTTAAAAGTATCAAATTGATAAAAATATAAAAATTAAAAATACAAATACAAAAAATCTACAAAAAATACAACTACTTTTTATCAAATTAATAATCAAATTTTTTGTTACAAAAATTTTGTAGTAATTTGATAATTTTAAATTAACTGTAATATCATTTAAGAAGAAAAACTCTTCATTTTCGTATTTTTCATTTTCTGTTTCTTGTATATTCCTTTAAATTTTTAATGACAATTTTATTGTGTATATATATGTATATATATATAAAGCGAGATTATGCTCGAGATGCAGATGGTCCAGTCAGCATATAAAATTTTTCATCTTCATCTCAGAGGTGATTAATCATTCTCAAGTTTGCTAGAACAAGATGAGCGAAAAGCTCATTTTATGGAAGCTATCATGCTACTCGACATTTGCTATTGTTGTATTATTAAACACAACGAGTTCGTTGAAGGAGAAATATTTACATAAAGCATAAAGCGAAACTCTATATATACAAACTACATTCGAATATATATTGTATATTGTATCTCGTTATTCTATATATCATAATAACAATATTAAACGACCACAACTATCGAAAAATGTTATAGAAAATATCTCAAAAAATTCCTCCATTTGTAGTTTAGATAATTTTTCATTTTTTACATAATTT